GTACCGCTGCACAGCGTCAGGCCCCATGGACACTCCCAGCTCCCAGCGGGGCCTGTCCGGAGTTTTTCCATGACCCTGTGACACGGATCACAGCCTGCCCACCACTTTCCCAGCAGCATAGCATTCTGGAAATGGTCCTGCCGATGTGTGATGGTGGCTGGGCTCAAGGAATTGGACTTGTGGAGTTTTTGGCTGAGTGCTGCTGTCCCCCACTGACTGTGATCCATCATCCGCAATCGTTTCCCTGTCACAGGATGCTTGGTGAGCCTCGGCTCCAAGCCAAGTGCTTCATCCGTCAGTTACTTGTAGCCTTGCTTGGAACTAAAATCTCAAGACCCCAGAAGACAGAAGCACACAGCAGAGGCCGCTGTGTCCAGGACAGAACTTTCCCCGTTGCTTCTTCAGCCTGGGCACAGGGGTCAGCCAGGCTGTCATAGTGTCCAAAGGCCTAGGTGTGGGTGGAGGCATGGGACCCCATCCTCCCAGGACTTTACTGATCTTAGAGTGGATGCATCCACAGCCAGTGTCACGTTGTGCTGCTGGCCACCAGTTCTTAGTTTAGAATTTGTGCCACCCACTGTGTGAATAAGACCATATTCTTGCCTTCGAAGGCCTTGCAGTGTGGAGGTGGGGTGGATCGCGTGGCTCTCTGCCTTTGCTCATAGAAGGCTCACAGAGACCATGCCATGACAGTCAGCCAGGTGTAAAGGAAGCCCAGGCTCTGACTGTGTTGTGAAGAGTCACGATCATATCACCTTCAGTGTGAGGGAGAGATTAAAATAGGCATAGGAATTCAGTGTCGGTCATTAGAGCAACCATAATGTAGCCTTTCTAGTAGTGTTTGGATGGCTGCTCATTCTGGACATGTCCACTTCAGTTTTTGTTGTAGGTGACTGCATTATTCTCTGGATTTAGAAACTTCATATTATCTCACCATCAGCTGTCCTGGGTGTGTTATTTGTATTTGAATTTCTGATTTGGATATGAAGGGAGATATATTCTAGCATCTGACTTCCTGAACCATGAACATGTTTCTGTAAAGGCCACAGAGGAAAGGACAGAACTGGGTATTATAATTCTTCCCACACTTTCTGGATTCTTTAAAAGTATATGCTTGCTGTAGATAATGTGGTAAGCAAATGTGTTAGGTTGCTTCATGCATAAAATTCCATTTCATGCCTAATTTAGAATGGTTTCAGTCCCAAGATCATCCCTGTGCCATGTCTTGTCTTGATAAACAAGAGCATTCTGTCCTTCCCTCCCAAATTCCGAATTTTATCATTTGAGAATATATCAGCACCACTTCTTTTGTTGTTATATAAATTACACACACACACACACACACACACACACACAACTTTTTTTAAAGTTTTAAATTAAAAAATTTAATTTTGAAAATTCACCTGTAGTAAAAATGACTTTGGGGTTGGAGTTTTGAGTTGCGTTTTTCCGTTGATGGGGGCTTGTTGCATGCACACAGTGTGTGAGGACCGGGTCAGGGTAGTGGCTCTCGACTGCCTGCTGTTGATGCTGGGCATCTGACTTCCCTCGCTTGATGAGTGCTGAGATGTTCAAGGACCAGACCAGGAAGTACGACCCGTGGGACAGTCACACTTTGTCTTTTCTTTTCTCTTTGTGTGGGTGTGTGGCTCTGAATGATACCCTGAGCCTGGCACATGCTGGGCAAGTGCTGTGCTGCTGGGCCAACCCGGCTGCCGCCCTTTGTCTCGACCCTCATGGCTGGATGGACGGGGGTGGTGGTGTCTGGTGTGCCTGGTGTGAATGCAGTGGCCGCCATGTCTTGACCTTGCCTTTGGCGCCTGGTGGGAAGGGACGCCTGAGGGTCCTCCCTGCTGACTGCCTTTGGCCTTGAGCTCCAGTGGGTGGGCAGGCTGGAGTGCTGCCCGCTGCAGCTGCACAGTCTGGCTCGGAAACTTCTGGCGCTGATGACCTTTGCACAGAGTGTCCAGCTCTTTGCTCTTCCTTGATCCCTGGGGGAAACATGCTGGAAACTGGCTGGAAATATCTGGCCCCACGTCTTACCTGCCAACTAATTGTATCATGGCTGGCAGGCTCATCCTGTGCCTTTGCTCTGCTCGAGTTCCCATATGACCTTGGATGGGTACCAGGTACTGGACTCTTCACGTATCATGGATCAAGACTGGGAAATTAAAAAAATAATAAGGGGGGATGCAAGAACCACGCCCGAGGGGAGTCATTTCCTCTGAGCTGCTGTATTTCACAACTCCTGGGGTGTGCGGATGCTTCAGCTCTCTAGTGGCTTTTGGGAAAGAATGTGTTCTTGCGTGAAAGCAGCTCTGGGATTTCAGATTCCTCCCTTCTGTTCCCAGGAGCACAAGAGGTCACCAGTGACGTGACCAGTCACTTCAGCCTCAGAACAGTACTTCCCTATCTGTGAAGTAGACATAGAAGGGTCGGTACCTCAGGGTGACATCGTATTGGGGAATTGTTTAATATTCTGCTGGGAACCAGCTTGCTCTAGTGACCTAGAAAAACGGGGGCCCAGGCGTGGGCTGACCTCATTTCTATTTCTGGCTCCAGTGCTGACTCAGTGAGAAACTGGTAGGAATCAGTTAATCTGGCTCTGGTCCCCTGTGCCTTCCGCGATTAAAATGAGAATTATAAAATCTTATCTTTGCTGGCCTTTGGCGCTACTGCCGTATTAATCAGGCACTGAGAATATTCCGCCCAGTGTGCTGCAGGGCTGCTGCCCTGGTGTGTGTCCCTTCCTGCCCAGCTCACGCCGGGTTATTTGGGGATACCTGATTCAATATTTATTTTATTTTGTTGGCCAGCGGTTTGCTGTTCAGTTCTTCTATTTTGAGTAGGATTTTCCTACATCTGAAAACGAGGTGACCGTGTTCGACTTGACTTTTCATTGTCAGCGTTTCCTGGGCTTGTAGCTTGCTGCCAGTTTTGCAGGTCAAGGGTGAGTGTATCTGAGTCACTCTTCGTTTGCACAAGCCTTGGTCTGGGAACGTTTTTCCAGTCCTCAGGGAGAGGGTCAGCTTTCTGTGTCCAGTCCTGTGAGGCCCAAAGGGGGCTGCCCCCAAAGGGCTAACTTTTCTTACCCACTTACTATTCGTCCAAGTTCGAAACGGCTCCCCACGCTCACTCACATTGGTGGGTTTCTAGATCCCCGACTTAGGCTGCAATCCAGGCACATCCCGGGGAGCCGGTGGCTGGCATCTCAAGTTCAAAATGCATTGTGAGTTTGCAGGACCAGAGGTGGCTCCCAAGGGCCGTGGTACCAGGATAGGCTGAGTGTTGGGCAATAACTTCGAAAGCTCTTGTTTGTCTCATTTCAGTGATGTGACGGTGAAAAACTTCTAAGTAACCCCAGTGGTGTGCTCTCCAGGGGGTGAACATTTGTGTGGTATACATGTTCCAGCTTCTTCTTACCTTGAATTGACGTCATGTGGAGAAGCACTGAGTGCTAACTAATCCTGCCTGTGGTCTCCAATAGGCCTTCTGCTTTCACATCACTGATAATAGTTACTTAATCTACCCAGAGTGTACGGCAAGAGTGCACTCAGGTCCACGTGCTGCAGATAAGCAAGTTCCCTTGCTCTCTTATCGTGGTTAGGAGTGTTTTCATTTGGGCAATCTAAAGGTAGCAGTCTTCCCAAAACATCACTTTCCTAGCCACGGGCTCACTCTGCTTCAGAACAAATAACACTCTGAGGGTCAGACGTCAGTGCCCCCTCCCTCCATGTTCCACCCAGTTGTCTCCTCCTGCTGGTGCTTGTGGCCACAAGGCTCACAAGTCCAGCCTCAGCCCCTCGGCTGTCCTCCACCGCCTCCCTTCTCTAACTGTGTTCATCTTGCTTCCTTCCTTGGACGGTCAGCTTAAGGCTCAGAACCCACCAACCTTTTCTCACCATTCTTTGTCTTTTTTTAGATGTATTGCGGCCCCTGTGATGTTGGCCACATGTTTGTATCCAGGATAATGTTCCTTATCTTAAAAATAAGCTTCTTGTTTTTACGGGGCAGAGACCAGACGTAAATGTTGATCCTTCCTTTACGAAATATACTTTTGAAGAACATGAATCATCAAAGCTCAGCGTTGCCTTATAGATTGACTGGGAAACCTCAGTGTCTGGTGCGATAAGCCACCCGAGACTCTGCCTATCAGCATGTCCAGGAGGGACCTAAAGAGAAAGGCACGAGGGATGATCTGGTCATGAAATCCCAGTGCAACCAGCAGTCCCATTAATAGAGCAAGGATATGATCAGTTCATCAAACAGACAAACAAAAACCCCACTATTCATTATTTCATTTACCTAACACAGTGTTTGGCATTTAGTCTGTGTTCAGTGTCGGGTCAGGTATTGCACATAAATGCTTCCTGTTCTGAAGAACTAATGCAGCAGGGCAAAGCATCTGAATTAAGATCAGCACGTGTCCCCAGAAGCTTGTGTAATGCCGAATGCTACTTAGAAGAGCTGGTGCCTACATCAGAGTCCCTGGAGAAACAGCCAACAGGATGCATGGGCAGACAGACAGATGGGTGGATGAGAGGGGAATTGTCATGGGAACTGTGACCACGGAGGCTGAGGAGTCCCACCATGTGCACCTGTCAGCTGGAGACCTGGGCAAGCTGCTGACGTCGCTCAGCCCAGGGCAAGGCCCATGGACAGGGGAGGCGGGGCTGGTGCAAGTCCTGGAGTCCGGTGGCCAGGGAACCTGGAATCATGATATCCAGCAGGAGATGGCAGGCGTCTGCCCAGAGGAGACAAGAGACACCCTTTTGATCTGTCTGGGCCTCACGTAATAGAATGGAGCCAACTGGGGCAGATCTTCCTCACTTGGCCACGGGTTGGGTGCAGTCTCTTCTAGAAACACCCTCTCAGACACGCCCGGGAATAGGCCTGCCAGCCGTGCAGTGTCCTTGGCAGTCAGGTCCATGCCTGAGATGGTCAGTTCCTTCCTCCCTTCCTTCCCTGCCTCTCCTCTGATGCCTCTGCTTCTCCTGCAGGGGGAACGAGGTCTCCCAGGGCTACAAGGTGTCATTGGGTTTCCTGGAATGCAAGGACCCGAGGGGCCGCAGGGACCACCGGGACAGAAGGTGAGCCTGCTGTGGGGGCTGAGATGGGGTGGGTGGGGGGTACCACTGCTCTTCCAGGAGTGGTCACCATGGCGTCTCTGTTCTTTTCCAGGGTGATACTGGAGAACCTGGACTTCCTGGCACAAAAGGGACAAGAGTGAGTAGTCGGGCTTGAAGCTGCTGCCCCATGAGGGACAAGACCTTGCAGAGTGGGGCTCGCCCCAGGGTCAGAAGGTGCTGACCTCGTTCTCCTCTCAGCCGCCCCAGCCTGTCCCCAGGGCTCAGTCAGCGCACAGTGGACGGGCTGTCGGGAGCCACAGCCCTTGTCTGCCGCTGCACGCGAGGGCACCTGGGTTTGTCTTAAACTTGCCTTTTCTCATCTGTTCTTCAAGGGTCTCTTGACAAGCTTCACTGGCGGGCGGGGCAGCTAACAATAGTCCCTAAGCCACTAGGGAAGGAACCCGGGACCCTTCCTCCCTCATAGTTTCTTGGCTCTCCTTGCTACTCCCATTCCTGGAAAGCAAAAAGGACCATCTTTGTAAGACAATGCTGAGAGGAGATGACAGGAAGACTCAGCGAAGCCTCCTGTTGTTCCGCTGAGAGGGGAGTGGGTCACAGCCTGCAGGGGCACGGGTCACACTGCCTGGGACTCTTGGGCAGAGCAAGGGGCAGCACTGTGGCATCCAGAAGGGGGGCCGTGTGGCTTGCAGCCAGAAAGGACTGGGTGTTTCCCGCTGTGCTGACACCCCCCGTAAACTCTTCTTCCTGTGTGTTTGTGATTTTATGAGAATTACATGTTATTTTTTAGCCTAGATGTTACAAAACATGAAGTGAGGGTTGTTTGTGCAGGTGCAGGCTTGATCTTCGAAGTGGCAGGCAGCTTTCAAGGTAGAACTGTGACTGCCACCTGGTCAGTCCGCCCTCAGCAGGCTCTTCTGTCTGCTTCCTGTGCACGTTCTAAACTCCAGAGACTGGAGTGGGCTCCTCTAGCCAGAAGGATGGGCAAGGAGGAAAAGGAATTTCAGATCTCAACTGTAAGCTTTCTACTTGTCTTTCCAGGGACCCCCAGGAGCAGCTGGCTACCCGGGAAACCCAGGACTTCCGGTGGGTATAGGAAATGGACTCTGCTCTTGTGTGAACTGCTTTTCCAACCTGTAAGTTTCTGTTTTGGTAATGTCTTCACTCACTCATTGCAGGGTATTCCTGGCCAAGATGGTCCCCCAGGTCCCCCAGGTATCCCAGGATGCAACGGTACCAAAGTAAGTTTATTGCTTGGGATGAGGACCCTCTCCATTGCATGCAGGTGTCTCTCACGTGGTCACAGTTGGAGCAGGTGGCTCTGTAGGACTTGTTGTATTTGGAAAGTTCCTGTCTTAAAGGTAGTTCTTCATTTAATAAGGAAATATAGTTTCCCCTTATTTAATGGACAGGAAAGATAGAGCCTTTCTTTTTTGTAGACTTTGATCCTAAGATGGCTTTTTAGCACCAAATGTATGATCAGTCACTAAAATCCAATAAGAGAATGCTGTTTGAACCTTTGTCTCTCTCGGCTGTGCTACCAAGTGAATTTTTTGTTTCATAAAAGTAGCACCAGTGATAGAGCTTGAAAGCTGTTGGTAGGAAATTAACCACCAAGCGGAGCTTGTCTGCGGGGAGCTCAGAACTGTCGCAGGCAGGGATGACTGATTCTCTGCCTTCCCCTAGGGAGAGAGAGGACCACTTGGGCCTCCTGGTTTGCCTGGATTCTCTGGAAATCCTGTGAGTATCAGATGGCACAAGACAGAATGTCTTGCTCTGGGTAAAATCTCTCTGTTTTCATTTTATTTTTGGTGCTGATATCCTAATGCTAATGATACCTTGAGAAACAGAACTAATATCCAAACTTTCTTTTCCAGGGACCACCAGGGTTACCTGGAATGAAGGTACATCTTATCTTATTATTTCACTGTATTTGTTACAGAAAACGGTTGAAAACAGAGGCCATAAAAACAGATTGACTCCAAATCACTTGAGCTGATTAATTTCCGATTAGCATGTTGTCCTAAATTCTGTTACACCGAAAGAATTCACAACGAGCAGATGTACAAACTTAAATTTCTGTCTGATGTTTAGACACTGGGTGCAGTTGCTTAGCAGGAGCTAAGCCCTGTGAAGCTGTCTTCCCGGTGCGGCTGGCTCAGCCCCAGGCTCTTGCCGTTCAGGAGGCCTGGCTATGGAGCAGCCCCGGGAAAGGGAGGTCAGGGCAGGGTGCAGCTCCGGGCTCGGGGCTTGCAAGGAGAAGCTTAGAGCTTGCCAGTAGCTCCCCTCGAGGTCCTTCCCTCATAACGTAGGGACACAGGGTGCCACTTGTCTGGTGAAGCCATGTGAGTTCCTGTGTTTCAGAGCACCTGTGAAAGAGTGTCCTCATTACCCGTGTGTTGGGCAGGGTTCTCCAGGAAAGCAGAACCAACAGAGAGAGAAAGGGGAGAGGCTGATTTTAAGAAATGGGTTCCTGTGGTGGTGGGCTGAGCATGTCCGCTGTCTGTGGGTGGGTGGCCGGCTGGACAGCAGGCGGAGTTGCTGTTGTGGGCTTGACTCCAAAGGTGGCCTTCTACAGGCAGAAGGTCCCTTCTTGCCCACGAGGGGAGCAGTTTCTTTGCTGGTGGGGCCTTCGATTGATTGGACAATGCCCACCACATCTTGGAGGGTCATCTGCTTGACCCAAAGTCTGCTCACCTCAGTATCAATCTCTTGTAGAAATCCCTCCCCAGCAGCATCCCAGTGGTGGTTTAGCCAAGTGAGGCCACCTTGCCAAGTTGGCAGATAGCATTTGCCACCGTGACCTCTCCTCAGAACACCCACGAGTCTTCCTGGCAGCAGTTCTTGTTCTGGGAGGGAGAGTCTCAGGTTGTGGGGTGCTGCCAGGGGCTGGGTCCCCTCCTGTGACGACCTCTGTCTTCAGTGCCAGCTGCAGCTGAGGTGACCTGCGGCTCTCTTTGCTGGTCACTGAGCAGTGAGGGGCCAGGTGGACAGTTGGTCTCACTCCTGGACTCAGCCCAGTCCCATCCCAGTGAAGCCTGGCGTCCGGTGGGTTTGGGGGTTCCTTATGTGACCATCCGCACTTACGACACTCTTCTTCTGCCCTCTAGGGGGATCCAGGTGAAATACTGGGCTTCGGCTACGTGCCTGGGATGCTGTTGAAAGGGGAAAGAGGATTTCCTGGCGCCCCCGGGATTCCAGTAAGCATTTTCTGAGTCACTGGGAGATGTGCTGAGTCACCTCCTGGCTGGCATGGTAACCCTTTCTCTCCTGTTGAATGATAGGGCTCGCCGGGATTGCCAGGACTGCAGGGACCCGTTGGCCCTCCAGGATTTACTGGACCACCAGTAAGTTTTGGGCAAATGCCTCTCTGTGACAGTCGTTTACAGAAAAGGTGAATAGAGATGTGGGAATCAATAGGAAGTTAATGGCACCTCGACCCCATGTGTCCCTCTTCCTTTGGCTAGGGCAGCACCAGCCTCCCTCCCATGCACAGGGTGCTGCCTCCTCTGCCCCTTCTGTTCCCAGAACTGCAGGAAAGGAGGTGAACGGCGCAGTGTGTCAGGACGCCCTAGACAGGGGGCATGGTGCAGTCTTGGGCTGCTGACCTCCCAGTGAGTTCTGTGGACTTAGGAAGGTGGGATCTTCCCTGGGCAACCTCGCCCCTGTGTGGGGAGCTGGACTGGGCGGCACACCGCAGGGCCTGGGGTGCACCAGGAGTGTGGACACAGACCAGCAGCCGTCCTGTGCTAGGCTGTAGAGTGAGCCTCAGGCCTGGCTCCTGGAGACAGCTCCCTGGCCTCCTTCACAGCTGATAAGCCTGGTGGGGGAGGAGAGGGCACAGGGTGGCAAGGTCACCATTAAAGAGGCATATCTGCCATGTGCCGTGTGCGAGGAGGGGAAGATGCACCCGATCCCTACGTGTCTTGAAGGTGCTATTCATTCCATGACAACTACCCCGAGGAATCATTAGCTTTTGAAGATTAACACTTGGGTCTAAAGTGGAGAGGCATCCTTCCCAGATGGGGAACCCAGCTCCAGAGCGTGGCTGGTAGCTTTATGCCTTGCCCTACCTAGCTCATCCTGGCACCCTCTTGGTCACCTGGTCCACGTGGCAGTGCCTCCAGTTTGGAGGTATTTCCACCCCTGTTAATAATTGCTGTGGCCGGATTCTGGCTATTTTCAAAGTTGTGCAGTTCTGCAGCACAGCAAAGACACTTCACAAATAGTGTCTCATGTTCTCCACAGACTCTCAGGATAACTCCAGCACAGAGGATTTAATAATGACCAGGGTTGTGAAGCGTATTAATAAAATTCCCTCTCTTACAGGGCCCCCCGGGTCCTCCTGGGCCTCCAGGTGAAAAGGTAAGTGTCTCTTCATCTGTTGCCCTTGGCCTCAGTGTGAGATCATCGTGGAGTTGTCGTACCTTTATCCACCCACCTGTCTGGTCATCTGTCATCCATCCATCATGCGTGATCTTTCTACCTTCTCTGTCGTCTGTCCATCGTCCACCAGTGCACCTCTTCCTCCTTCTACCTCTCCCTTAGTTGTTGTCTTGGATTCTCTTAGTTTGATCTTTCCCTTAGTTTTCTAAAGCTAGAGTTTTAAAACCTTAAATTTTAGAAATTATTTGTGTAGTTCTTTCTCCATATACTTGTTTGGGCCTTTCCATCACCTCTTTCTGGAAGAGGTTGTGGTAGTTGAGGTCAAAGCTGCTGCCCGATGTCCACTGTCTGGACAAAGTGGCAGGCCTAATAACAAAGCCTAATTTTCAATCAACAGGGACAAATGGGCTCAAGTTTTCAAGGACCAAAAGGTGACAAGGTGAGTACATGGTGCTTGGTCTGTCCCTTGTTTAAGGCCACAGCTCTGAGATTGGCAGAACTTCTACTTCTGACCATAGTTCCTCTTCTCTGCAGGTTTTTGAGTTCTGTAGGGTTTTGCTTATAGTAGGTGTATACTCCAGGTTACTGCACGAGGCAGGCCTGCTGCAGAGGTCTGTGTGTGGTCCCACGAGCAGAGTGCACTGAGGCTGTCTGTTGGGATGCTCTGTACACGGGCATCAGTCATAGTGTTCTTGTCAGACTAGGGTTCCTAAGAAGAACCCCAGCACGTAGGACATGATTTAGTAGCACAACTCTGTGAAGCCCTGCAATGGTGAAGGCCACTGTAGGACAGGGAGGAGAAGTCAGAGTTGGTAGGGGGTCCTTCTCCGGGGCAGTGGGCGTGGAGGGAGAATGCTCTGGAGGCAGGGAGGCTCAGATGGACCCGCAGATTTCTCCTGGGAAGAGAAGAGAAAACTGTGGGCCTCTGAGCCTCTCCTGTCCTCTGCAGCAATGTCCCTGGTCAGACCAATGAGACGGGCACCAGCCTAGGGGATTCTGTAGTTGCTGCAGCTGGCCTGCCTCCAGGGATGTGCGAGTGGACATGGTGGCCACCTGGGCACTAGACACGGGGCCTGGCCAGAGCTGGGTCATGCAGTTGGTTCTGCTTTTCTCCTCCATACCTTTTGGCTCTGTCATTGCATGAACCTCACAATAAAATGACTCTGAAATTCATGCCATTGGGGGTCTTTGGACTTCCCTCACTGTCTGTTGGATTCCCCTGATTTCTGAGTGCAGCCAGCTGTCAGGCTGCTTGGGAAGCAGATTCCGAGGGTTTTCACGTTTTTGCCTGACCTAAAGATGGCTCCTCTATGGACCAGCTCTTAGGCAGCCTGCAGCCTCTCCTGGGTGCCCTCTCAATGCAGCATGCACTCTGCAGCGGCTGCATGCACAGGTGTGTCTGCAGGTGTTCAGCTCCTGACCCTGGGCACGGGCGGCCTGGCTGTGGACCTGCCACCCCAGGCTCCAAGTGCAGCCACCACAGAGGCAAGGCTGCAGAGGAGCAGAAGACTGTCATGTTTTAAGATCAGCTGCTTCTCTGTAGGCCTTTATCCTCACACCTGTGTTTTCCCTTCTCACATCGTTATTTTCATGCCTCATTAATCCCCGGCTTTTACTTGAACAGGGTGACCAAGGTGTCAGTGGGCCTCCCGGGATGCCAGGACAGGCACAAGTTAAAGAAAAAGGGGACTTTGCCCCGACGGGAGAAAAGGTACGTCTGGGCTGGCCCTGCAGGTGCTTGCTAACCCAGGGCAAGTCCCAAGGGAGGAAGACATCAAGTCATGATCCAGTGTCTCCCCCCGTTGACCCTTGACCTGGAAAGCAGATTTCCAGGAGCCCGCTCCATCGGAGCAGCAGCTCTGTGGCAGAGGCGGGGCCCGGGTGCAGCTGCTTCAGGGAGCATATTGGGGCCACCAGGGGGTAGGAGGGGGTCCTGCTGAGGGACAGAAGGAGGCATGGCAAGTCCCTCTGTGCCAGCAGGGTGGCCTCTGCCCTGGCGACACCATAACTCGGTGGAGCTGGGGAGGGAACGTAGGAGACACCATGCGTTGATTTGTTCCCGAGCTGGAGAAAGGGTTTTTCTTCTCATGTGTTTGACCTCATCTGTAGAAAGCTGGTAAAGCCATTAGAAAGTCCTGACCCCTCTCTCTGCCCCTCTCTGAATTCTTTTAGGGTCAAAAAGGTGAACCTGGATTTCAGGTAAATTCCCTATTCCTGTCTATCGTTTAGATTTTTATAGTATTAAAGTTACCAGTTTATCTTCCCTCTGCCTGAGCCGCGTGCTGGGGAGTGCCGTGAGCTTACCTGCTTCTCTTTTTGCTCTTCTAGGGGATACCAGGGATTGGCGAGAAGGGCGAACCCGGAAAGCCAGGGCCTCGGGTACGTGGGCCTTCCCCTTCCTGTCCTAGAATGCAGAAGCAGGGGACAGAAGGTCGTGCGGGACCTTTGTGTGTCCCTTCTCTTGGAAGGCTGGGGCTTCGGCACCACTGGGGCAGGCAGCCCAGGGGGAAGGAGGCTTTGGGAGAGGCCCACGGCCCCTGGGACCTGCTGCATGGACAGGGCAGGGGCTTGGCTTCCTTTTGTGGCTGGTTCTGGTGCCAGTTCTGAGACCCAGAGCCCAGGTTGTGCATGCTTAGCCCCAAGCCCCTCCGAAGGCAGGGACGGGCACTGCCCAGCGGTCTGTTCCTGGGCCCCTGCAGAACCCTGGGGAGAGCCCATGGGGCAGCCCTGCACAGTAGCCTCAGTACCGTCCTGGTGTTGGCCTGGCTGCCAGCGCAGTGGACCTTAGGCCTGCCGCCAGGCTGGCTCTGCCCTTGGGAACTGAAACACCCTCCTGCCAGGGTGACTTCCCCAGCCATTCCCCCACCGCCCAGCTGGTCACCAAGGCACTGCGGCCACCCGGAACCTTCTCCCCGGGATAGTCCTGGCTACCATTCACGAAACACTAATGTCCACATCTTTACAGGGAAAACCTGGAAAAGATGGTGACAAAGGAGAGAAAGGGAGTCCGGTAAGTATCGCTCTGCGGCTTCTGAAGGCACAGGAGCTCTTCTCCTTCACTCAGTGACCTTGCCACTGTCCTCTCCCTCCAGGGCTTTCCAGGCGAGCCAGGGTACCCGGGACTCCCCGGCCCGCAGGGCCCTCAGGTATGTGGTGACGCTGTTTTAACCTCATTGTGTAGTTCAGCTTGGACAGAGCAGGGCTTGGCTTCCCTTTTCCCTAGAAAACAGAACTCTGTTCCCAAAGGAGAAAAACGGTCTCTCTCCCATGTGGGCAAAAACAAACTTTTTAGTGATTTTCTTGGTGATCGTGAAAGTTTTAAAGAAAAAAAATATATATATATATATAATGTTCCACTTGAAGTTTCTATGTCTTAGTTTATAGAGATAATTTTTCCCGATTATGAAACCAGAGAAAATGCGGAAGGGTGTAGTGGACAAAAGAAAGCACATTGTCCCTCCAGCACTCAGGGACGGCGATGGCTGGTGTTCTTCTGTGCACCCACACCTTGTACAAGAAGGCATGGAGCGTCTTATCCGTCACTCGGTGACAATCAGTGACATGTCAGCCTTCCTGAACGCAGCCCCACATCTTCTGGTGCACGGGATTTAGGCCATGTCTAAATTTTCATCTTTGCCATTAGTTTGGGCCGCTTCTCTGATCATGAATTCCATCATGAATTCCTAAAAGTGTAATCTGGGGTCTCCATGAAGACTCTTATTTCCCCCAAAGCTTTACAAAATGCTACCGTGTGCCCCAGAAGAACTCCTGCAGCAGGGCCCTGTGGTTGGCCAGCCGGTTGTTTTCCATCTCTGAGAGCAGAACAAATGAGGGACTGCTTTATTTTTCTCTTTTAGTCGTGCTACTCTACTGAAATAGGATCAAGAATTGTTTGTCACTAACAATGAGTGACAACCTAGGGAGACACCCTTAAGGTTTATTGTTGAAGCCAGGAGCCAAAGGGAAAGGCCTTGACTGGAATTTTTTGAGAAAGTCAAATCCTATAGATTTTAAGTGTTTGAATATAGCAGCTAGTTGTTCCCCCTCCTTCTGGTGCTGGGGGGAAACCCAGGACTCAGGTGTGCTAAGCCCCATTCCACCCCGAGCTTCACCCCCCACCCAGGAGCTGGAATATTGTTGAAATGCTATGGATATTTCAAAATTTTTGTATTCTCTTAATGCTAAAGCGTTCAATTCTAGTTTAATGCTTAAGTTTTATGTGTTAGTTTAAAAGGAAAAACATGTACATTTATGGTAGGATATATCACATATATATATGTATATCATAGGACTTTCTAAATTTTTATTGTGAGAACAGTTAGATATGAAAGTTTAGTTAGGATTTTCATCTAATGTAGATTAATTAAGCCTTCAAGTGATCAGAAGTTATTCACCAATGGTTTCAATGAATACTAGATTTTATATTCTGACTTCCAATGCAAATTTAGATAATCTTGCACATAAAAACTTCATATTAAATGATTGAAGACAATACATTTAGATATCATGCTTTCATATCATTTCATTTAATTTCTTTTTTGGCTTTTGGAAAAACTATGGCATGGTAACTTAGCCTCCAATGAACTCTGTTCAGGCTCTCTGAGGGAGCACGTGGTCAGTGGTCAGAGGGGCGAATACCCTGCTCTGTGGCCAGGGGCGTAGTTAGCCTTCCGCTGTGTTCTGTAGAAATCTCTGTTCCCCTGTGTCACATGTACTTGAAGCAGCGAGAGATGTGTTTGTGTCCTATGCTGGTCTCAGAGTGTACTAGGCTGACCACCCTGGGACCAGCCGAGGAGAGGACCATGTCTTTAGCGCTCTGAGGCCCACTCTCAGTCTCGCTAGAGAGAAGCCTTGGGCGCTGCCCTCTGTGGGCACTCCGTGGAGTGAAGACAGGCAGTTCAATCATTTTTTCTTTGTAGGGAGACAAAGGTGCAGCCGGTCCTCCGGGCCCCCCTGGAATTGTGAGTAACGCTGTCTGCTGGCCTGCTGGGGGGGGGGGATTTTTCCAGGGGTGGTGACACAGGACAAGCTGCCACCACGCCTAGCATTTTATGTGAAGTAACTGCATGTCACTTGAAACTTCCTCAGAATTTCTATCGTGCTGTTTTATTGGGTTTTGAAATTTCTACATATTCTTAAACCTCTGGAAATGAAAAGGTTGGAATATGGATAAGAATATTAGTGACCTATTTTGAAATCTTTTGGTTTGGAATTGTCCATTAAGGGAGAGAGAAACAATGTTCTGTGGCACTGGGGATGGAACCCAGGCCTCAGGCAAGTGCCCTGCCCTGGAGCTACATCCCAGCCCACTTAAGGGAAATCTTACAAGAGAAACAGATGGCCGGTCACTTGGCCGTCCGCGGGCAGCCTTGCTTCTGCAGTGGTGCTGGCTCCTGGCTGGTTTCCACACAGCTGCAGTCGCGGTGTGTGACTTTCCTGGAAAGGAGCGGGCATGCGGGCGCCTCTGGGGGCTGCTTCTCCGGGAGCAGGATCATCCCCAAGGCGTGCCTGGCTCCCTCTGTCCTTGTACGCATTTCTGTGGCTCTGACGTCACGTTTGTGACTCCGTGGTGGCGGGCACTGAGGGTCTGGTTCACCTCAGCCCCACAGGCACATCTTACTTAGTTTTCTTTTTAATAAAGGTTTTTTCTTCATTGATTTTTAATTGACACATAAAAATCGTGAAGGCTTCTGGTGTACAGCGTGTTTTCATATGTGCAGAAGTTGTGGAAAGGCCCACAAGCTGTTTAACAGCATCTCAAAAACAAAGTCCGTTCACTGAATGGACACAGAGGAATCATATTTCCGTGGTGATGTGCAGTGTTGGAACTGCCATTTCCCTGAATGTGCTTTAGAATCTCTTCTTCTTAATGAGGCCAGCAGTGACTTCTTCCTGGCCAGTTTCCCTTTGGCTTTAAGGAATGGCGCACTCTGGGTCTTTAAAAAGGAAAAAGCAGAAACCCTCTTCTAATAAAACTTGTGTTCCTGATCCGTGGTCTGCAGGGCTAAAGGGCGAGCCCCTGACGGTGCCCAGCAGAGCAGATGCCACACCTGCGCCTTGAGTGACATTGCTCATTCCCTGGTGCAGTTGGGAGCTGCCCAGGGGAGGAGAGCTGCTGGGTGGCTTCTCTGTGACCCGCTCTTGGCCTGAGGTTCATCCCGGGCTCAAGACCTCCGCACCCCACCCACTGCCACTGCGTCTTAGCTTTTGTATTCCTTGAAGTCATGCACAGTAGGTTAATTTCTTCACATACCAGTATATAATCCAAGGCCAGCCACTCTTACGCCACGGGGATCTTTTCTCCTTTGATGCAGGTTATAGGCACAGGACCTCTGGGAGAAAAAGGGGAGCGAGGCTACCCAGGGGCTCCCGGGCTGAGAGGAGAGCCAGGCCCGAAAGGTAGAGTCTTGCCTTTGCCCTCCCTCCTCCTCTCCTCCCTCCTCCTCCCCCTCCC